GTCAGCTGTCATGGGCTTCTTCCTGGGGGTGGAGGCCTGGTCTAGGACCGGGCCGCGGGGACACTAAAGCCCCGAAATCATCTCAAGATAACCTACTGGTCTGTCTGCTGGGGTGTGGCCCCCCATGGTCTGGGATGGTCACACCATGGTCATGGTCTGAGGGAGCCCTCTGACCTGATAACACGTGGCCCTCAGACCTGATAACACGTGGCCCTCAGACCTGATAACACGCGGCCCTCAGACCTGATAACACGTGGCCCTCAGACCTGATAACACGTGGCCCTCAGACCTGATAAACGTGGCCCTCAGACCTGATAACACGTGGCCCTCAGACCTGATAACACGTGGCCCTCAGACCTGATAACACGTGGCCCTCAGACCTGATAACACGTGGCCCTCTGACCTGATAACACGTGGCCCTCAGACCTGATAACACGTGGCCCTCAGACCTGATAACACGTGGCCCTCAGACCTCAATTCACAAAGTCAGTTGTTGAAGTCACTCGCCACCTCCAAAACATTTATCTGCTTAGTAATTCAACAAGCTTCCAGCGATTAAAGCGTGAAATGAAAATACTTTTCCAGAGCGGCAATAACGTGTGGGTGAGAACGTGTGACAGAGAAGTATAACATGAACACGGGGGATACACCCCGAGGCTCAGTACCGCTGGGCGCCGCAGCTGCAGGAAATGTTAGGTCGCTTCCTGGTAGACTACGTGTCTATCATGACGATAGAGGCTCGCTCCCCCTTGACCTCTTGGACACCACCTACGTGACAACACTCCCCCCTCCCTCCCCCCCTACACAAATAGCCACAGAATTAACGGATTATAAAATAATACTCTAAAATAAAACTGGCACTCAAGATTCCCCAATAAACTGAGGAAATAAATTAAAACAAATATATCAATCTCCAATTTATAGGTATAGCCTCCAAGACTTCAAAAATAGTTTGTATGGTCCTACGTCATCGCTACTCTGTAAACAGACCTAAGACAACGACTGCTGGTTCATCCTTGACGTGGAGCGGACGTCTGTACACCAGCTCCGCCTCGGGGCGGCCGGATCGCCTCCCGTTTCGAGATTTTACCCATATGGTCTTGATAGTGCCGTCTGGCGTACATGTTCAACGGGCCGGATTGTTGCGACGCTTGGAGCACGTATTGCCTTGGGTCACAGAAGGGTTGATAATGTGAACGTTTTCTGGCTCGTTCTTCGGCGCGGGGTGACGGTGTCCGGCGCCGGGAGTGGGGGGGGGGGGGCCTTGGTGGGTCTTGGTGGGTCCTGATGAGCTCCTGGTGGGCTCCTGGTGGGTCCTGGTGGGCTCTCAGAGGTGGTGGGCGGCCGGGGACCACTGGATGGCGTTCTGCGTTTTAGAAGGGGGGAGTCGCATTTTTGCTTTGCTTCTCAGTGTTTTCTGTACTCTCCTAGTTGTGTTTGCGGGGGTTGAGCTCTGGCTCTTTGGTCCCGCCTCTCAACTGTCAATTAACGGATGTACAGATTCCTGAGCCTACTGGGCTCTATCATATCTACACTTGAAACTGTGTATCTGTGGGGCGGGGCCGCTGCTTGTCACCCTGAGGAACTCCTGGGGGCTCGCCAATCATCTGCCCATCACTGTGTTTCCGCAAGGCGCATTTGTTTCTCTCAACAGGCGACGTTCTTTTAGCCATTGGGATTTGCGATTTACCCCTTTAAGGGTACGGCGGGGTGCACCTGATCCCTCGATCGTCGTCGCCCCTAAACCCACAACCTAACCTAATGAAAATCAAAGACAACATTTTGTTTTCTATATGGTGCGCATGAGGTGTGTAGCGTGGCTATGACGTCGTATTCTTCATGCTGGTAGAGATTCTAGATCCTACTGGTTTATAGAAGTTTACTGAACAGCTTATAGCCAGTCAGGCACCGTGCACGCATGCGCAGTCTTCACCAACATCTGATGCTCATTTGTTTCAGAAACTCATGGCGCGGGAAGACTAGGGGTGCGGAAGTGGACTCTAAGCAGAATGGGGAGAAACAGGAAACAGAGAGGGTACCTTACAGTCAGACCTGGAGCACGGTGAGTGTAAACAGGTCAGCTGTGGGCACCAGGGCTGTACACACCCCACAAGCACGTCAGCTGTGTCCACCAGATGTGTCAATCAATTACTCCATTCACAGTAAGACTTAAAAACAAAATGATTCTATTTTAATTTTGATCTCAACAATTTTCCTAGAGATAATTAGTCACCGTTATCAATATTAGTATATATGAGAGAGAGAGAGAGAGAGAGAGAGAGAGAGATTGAGACAGAGAGGGGGGGGGGAGAAAAATAACTTTCCAGTTCTTCAGTGAGCATGTGTGGGTTCTTCCGGCCATTGTCAAGCAATCAGCTGACCATCGGTGACCTGTCAGCCCAGCTGTGTTTGTAAACAAAAGTCAAGCCTAACCACTCCCACTCTCGCTTCATGTGCGCTTGTGCCTCTAATACACAAAAATATACAATTCATCTCCGTGGATGTGACGCGCGGCAGACACAGGCAGCACCCTAAAGCACAAACACCCCCCCCCCCCAGCTATACACCTCCACACCCAGGATTCGTCAAGCATTTACGCAATCACTGACGAAACCTGTACATCTTTCATTAATCATGGCGAATTTCTTTACATTTATTAAACAGCTTGAGGCCCGAAGCACTACGAGGCTGTTTACAACAATAATAACCTCGGGTTGTGAAGTTTCCCAGCTCGTAAAATGATTAATAAATGTAAACAAAGCTGCTAGGATTAGGGAAACATGTAGTGTTTCGTGGGTAGTTGCGACCATGGTTGATGGATCCTTGCCTACGTATGGTTACGTAGGTCTTAAGACGCGGTTACAACTGGCTCTATGACGTAGCAACATAAGAGATCTCTAGTTGGGAAATATATTGTGGGTACGAGGCTATGTGGCGCGGCTACATAACTGTTCAGTTCCTGAACCGATTATGTGCCTCTGTAACCCTTTCACCCACGGGATGGGTATAGGGTGCATTATAAAGAAATTGAATTGAATACATAACTATGCGGCGCGGCTACATAACCCTATGTGGCGCAGTTATATAAAGCTACGTGGGGCGTATATTCATATTTTGGCGTAGCAACGATGAGTCCTATATCCATATAGTGTAGCAACCATTTGCCTGTATCCATATAGCATAGCACCTATAAAAATTTATCCTTAAAACATAGCAACCATGTTTAATTATATCTATACAGCATAGCAACAACGAGTCTGTATCCATATAACATGGCAACCATTAGCCTATATCCTGATAGCGACATATAGCAACCATGAACCTGTAAGCATTAGCATAGCAACCAAATAACCCAGCCACTATAATATGATAGTATTCTAACACCGAAGCCTAGCTTCCTATAGCAGCCAAACAGCCTAGCAACCAAGACGGGCTCCGGGTCCAAGTTAGGCCTATAGATCCCCTCTGCTCATGTTAATATATCAGCCTATATTATCAACTTCCATTATTATTATAGTGGTACATTCTGCTAGTATAGTGTCATTGATAATGTTAATGGCGGAGATATTCTTATCGTTTTTCGTGATTTAAGCTTCGCCGTAGGTAACACTCCAAGAATTTTCAACCTTGGAACTCTTACTTCTAAGGATGGATTGACGCTGAGTTACACCAGACGAGGCTTGAGTCGGCCCAACGGTTAACTGCCGCCAGGGTGTAAGTAGTTAGTTCCCACGGTGTATTGTATAGTCCCGCGTGGGGGCAGGAATCACTGCCCTCTCTCACTACATCAAGTCACACCGTCAAGACGCTGGGATACAGTTCACTGTAGTCCGCCCCAAGCGGGGGTCAGGAAGCACTGTATTCATAAGTCAGTTTATCGTCGCATTCCTAGACCAATGCAACATATTATGCAATAGCTTCATCTCTGTCATATTTATATTGGCAGGCACCTCTCAGCCTAGTTCTGGCTGTATCAGTGCATATAATTCATGCCTTATACACAATAAATGTTTTAAAAGTATGCATAGCTTGAACAAATCTATCTGCATTACTTACCAGTGAATGGAGCAGCTAAATGTTCCTCCTCTGGGCGTGTTTATTGCACCAAAACTTTTAAATCCGTTTCCCCCACTCATGCAAGTGTTAACAGCCTATTAGGTTGTCAAAACACGCTCATCTCCAGTAGCATCACTCACACTTAACGACAGCACTTTTAATATAGGAGACTACAGGATATGCCCGTCCCAGCGGCGGGAGGTGAGGGAGGCGTCACTGACTGGTGGTGTGTGAGAGAGGAGCGTCACGCACCCTCCCTCTGCGACAGTCACTGGCGGACTGTCGGAGAGTCCGAGACGCTGTTCCTCCACCCTCCAGCTGCTGCTGCTGCTGCTCCAGCTGCTCACAAATGCTCCCCTATAACCCCGCGCTCCCAATGACCACAGCTGCTCTGATCATTTATTGATTGTTTTATTTATTTATATATACAAGTGTTCTTACATGCTTGTATAGCCACCAGCACGCATAGCGTTTCAGGCAAGTCCTTATTTCCTAATTTTCACACACACACACATTCCCAGGAAGCAGCCCGAAGCAGCTGTCTAATTCCCAGGTACCTATTTACTGCTAGGTGAACCGGAGCATCAGAGTGAAAGAAACTGCCCATTTGTTTCCACCTCGGCCGGGGATCGCACCTGGGCCCTTACGACTACGAACACCGAGCGCTGTCCACTCAGCCGTCAGGCCCCTCATGGGAAAAAAGGGGGGGGGGCGCAAGAGCGATCACGCTTGCGGTCTCATGTCATAATAACAGAACTGTCACCGTACTTGAGTAGCCATATATATATAACGATAAAATGCTCGTTAGAGGTTGGAGACCAGACGCTTAGAGTTAGCCTCACACAACTTTCCAAGACGAATCAAGGGAGGAGGGGACAATCTGTGTGTGGCCCCGGTGGCACACTACACAGAAATCTCGGCATGTGTAACGACCCCCTGCATTTATCACGATCTAAAATAATATTAAGGGAGAGGGTTGTATTTTTCATAGAAGATGGAAGGGAAAGAGGGGGGTGGGGAGGGAGAGGGGTGAGAGACCCGGGCACAGCCGGGTATCTCATCTAGTCACTGGCCCAACAGCCATGACCAAACTGTCGACCGCTCCTCTCCCTGATCACGGGGAAGCCTAACGCCTGGATCAATACACTTCAGACCCATTCAGTCTGGATTATATATATATACACGCCTTTATCAACCAAGCCTTCTACCGTAATAATAATAATATTGATAATAATCAGTAATATTTATTTAGGGAAAAGTACATACAAAATGAGTTACAATCAGAATGTCGGAGTTCTAGACAACAAGTAAATACTCTTCCTAAAGCCACTAACAGACACAGCGTTTCCCGCATCAATCTTAGTCAATATGATATCTAGCTAAGCAAATAACCTAGCATAACCTCGCCTCAATATAGAGGTGTTCTTTATGTCCTACTTTATGTTCTACTTATAAAATCAAAACTCCTACGTTACATCTTGATTTAATATCACAGTAGACTCATCATGTGAAGTAAATAGTTCATATCCCGACCGGAGAACGGGTTGTTTTTATAGACTGATATTAGGTTTCGTTTGTCGACTCTCACTCGTCGATAAATGGAAGTGAACATTTGGCTGGTGCTACGAGTACAGTACAGAGGTTACTTACAAACACCACAAGTATACACGCACTTAAACAAAGCAACAACTGGTGTAACATCCTCGGGGGAACTAGCGATACAACGCATTAAGAACCAATTGGCTTTCTCCTCTCCCCTAACCTCTGCACTAAGTGTTATTCAGCGCGCGGTCTTCATTACAATAATAGTGCGCGGCCCCTCATTTCTGCCCACTGACATCACCACTCCTTCCGTTGCAAATCTTACTTCACATTCACAAATGAAACTTAATGCAGCATTCTTTTCGAATCACGGCGAGAGCAGTCACGGGGTGACATCTTAGAGGAGAGCTACTCATGTCGTGATGAGCCGTGATGAGGGTTCAAACTTACGTCCGAAAGCATCAAGGCGCGTCTGGGATCCTCCCGGACGTAGGTTCGACCCTCGTCACGGCCCTTGTGAATTTGTTCATTTGATGTATCACGCTATTGTGATTTCTGTGTGTAATTATGTCAATAAAATCGCGATAAAAGCATTTCTACGAAGCCAAACAGCTTGTTGAAGGCTGATTACAACTCAAGAAAGAGAAGATGGGCTCCAGGCAAGGGGTTCGTGGTCCCGGGTTCGATCCCGCGCGCCGGAGAGAAACAATGGCCAGAGTTTCTTTCACCCTGATGCCCCTGTTACCAAGCAATAAATAGGCACCTGGGAGTTAGTCAGCTGTCACGGGCTGCTTCCTGGGGGTGGAGGCCTGGTCGAGGACCGGGCCGCGGGGACACTAAAGCCCCGAAATCATCTCAATATAACCTCAAGAAAGGGCGCCAAACCGGACCGTCCGGCGCCTCGCTACAAGATTATCAGTACAAATATGATCAACAGCCAGTAACAATTCTACTGCTGTGTAGTTATACAATAGTTAACTAAAACCAAGAGTAACTACACCTCCTAAGTGTAGTCAACAACACCTCCTAAGTGTAGTCAACAACACCTCCTAAGTGTAGTCAACAACACCTCCTAAGTGTAGCGACAACACCTCCTAAGTGTAGTCAACAACACCTCCTAAGTGTAGTCAACAACACCTCCTAAGTGTAGCGACAACACCTCCTAAGTGTAGTCAACTACACCTCCTAAGTGTAGTCAACAACACCTCCTAAGTGTAGTCAACAACACCTCCTAAGTGTAGTCAACAACACCTCCTAAGTGTAGTCAACAACACCTCCTAAGTGTAGTCAACAACACCTCCTAAGTGTAGTCAACAACACCTCCTAAGTGTAGTCAACAACACCTCCTAAGTGTAGTCAACAACACCTCCTAAGTGTAGTCAACAACACCTCCTAAGTGTAGTCAACAACACCTCCTAAGTGTAGCGACAACACCTCCTAAGTGTAGTCAACAACACCTCCTAAGTGTAGCGACAACACCTCCTAAGTGTAGTCAACTACACCTCCTAAGTGTAGTCAACAACACCTCCTAAGTGTAGCGACAACACCTCCTAAGTGTAGTCAACTACACCTCCTAAGTGTAGTCAACAACACCTCCTAAGTGTAGCGACAACACCTCCTAAGTGTAGTCAACAACACCTCCTAAGTGTAGCGACAACACCTCCTAAGTGTAGTCAACTACACCTCCTAAGTGTAGTCAACAACACCTCCTAAGTGTAGTCAACAACACCTCCTAAGTGTAGTCAACAACACCTAAGTGTAGCGACAACACCTCCTAAGTGTAGTCAACTACACCTCCTAAGTGTAGTCAACAACACCTCCTAAGTGTAGTCAACAACACCTCCTAAGTGTAGTCAACAACACCTCCTAAGTGTAGTCAACAACACCTCCTAAGTGTAGTCAACAACACCTCCTAAGTGTAGCGACAACACCTCCTAAGTGTAGTCAACAACACCTCCTAAGTGTAGCGACAACACCTCCTAAGTGTAGTCAACTACACCTCCTAAGTGTAGTCAACAACACCTCCTAAGTGTAGCGACAACACCTCCTAAGTGTAGTCAACTACACCTCCTAAGTGTAGTCAACAACACCTCCTAAGTGTAGCGACAACACCTCCTAAGTGTAGTCAACAACACCTCCTAAGTGTAGTCAACAACACCTCCTAAGTGTAGTCAACAACACCTCCTAAGTGTAGCGACAACACCTCCTAAGTGTAGTCAACAACACCTCCTAAGTGTAGTCAACAACACCTCCTAAGTGTAGCGACAACACCTCCTAAGTGTAGTCAACTACACCTCCTAAGTGTAGTCAACAACACCTCCTAAGTGTAGCGACAACACCTCCTAAGTGTAGTCAACTACACCTCCTAAGTGTAGTCAACAACACCTCCTAAGTGTAGCGACAACACCTCCTAAGTGTAGTCAACAACACCTCCTAAGTGTAGCGACAACACCTCCTAAGTGTAGTCAACTACACCTCCTAAGTGTAGTCAACAACACCTCCTAAGTGTAGTCAACAACACCTCCTAAGTGTAGTCAACCAACACCTCCTAAGTGTAGTCAACAACACCTCCTAAGTGTAGCGACAACACCTCCTAAGTGTAGTCAACTACACCTCCTAAGTGTAGTCAACTACACCTCCTAAGTGTAGTCAACTACACCTCCTAAGTGTAGTCAACTACACCTCCTAAGTGTAGCGACAACACCTCCTAAGTGTAGTCAACTACACCTCCTAAGTGTAGTCAACAACACCTCCTAAGTGTAGTCAACTACACCTCCTAAGTGTAGTCAACTACACCTCCTAAGTGTAGTCAACAACACCTCCTAAGTGTAGTCAACAACACCTCCTAAGTGTAGTCAACAACACCTCCTAAGTGTAGTCAACAACACCTCCTAAGTGTAGCGACAACACCTCCTAAGTGTAGTCAACTACACCTCCTAAGTGTAGTCAACTACACCTCCTAAGTGTAGTCAACTACACCTCCTAAGTGTAGCGACAACACCTCCTAAGTGTAGTCAACTACACCTCCTAAGTGTAGTCAACTACACCTCCTAAGTGTAGTCAACTACACCTCCTAAGTGTAGTCAACTACACCTCCTAAGTGTAGCGACAACACTTTACAGAGCACAAGACTCAACGAGGCTTCGTAACACTTCAGGTTTTTACTGAAATCGTCAAATCCCACGAAAACAATTGATGTATTTTGGTTGAGAACACAACTTGCACTCAGGCTTTACTGACTCATCGATCTGTCAGGTGTGCGTGCTTGTGCAAGCTTCAGGTGTGTTGTTGTCAGGTGTGCAGGCTTCAGGTGTGGTGTTGTATACACTCCCAGGTACACCAGGAGCGTACCACGTTACTACCATTACTCTACCACCACCACAAGCACCACCACAACCACCCCCACCACCACAAGCACCAGTGCTACGCCACTACCACAACATCGTATACCATCATGACTACCAAGGGTACCAGGGATGACAATCGTCACCTCATACGTGACATACCGCCACAATTAGAGGCGACATGCTAATAAGAACCTTATATGATGTATCTCCACCACCCCCCCCCACCCTCCGTACACCACAACACCACGTCATGGTCAAAAGCAATAGAACCATCTGGGATTCAACTGAAGCCTCTAGGGGGTCCTGAAGCTTCCACTGAAGCCCACTCTGTGGTCCATGAGGCCTACCCACAACGCTTCTCTTCAAATGCATAATGAAATCACATTAATATGATGCATCAATGATGACGCTGATTCCCATGACTGTATGAGCAGTGTCACACACACACACACACACACACACACACAACACACACACACACACACACACACACACACACACACACACACACACACACACACACACACTTGGTAGCCTGGCGTAAGTGTAGATATAAGTGTAGGTATGATAGAGCCCAATAGGCTCAGGAACCTGTACAACTGTTGATTGACGGTTGAGAGGCGGGACCAAAGAGCCAAAGCTCAACACCCGCAAGCACAACTAGGTGAGTACACACACACACACACACACGGCCCCAGACGTTGGAGGTCTCCACGTATAAGTATTGTGAGTGTGGTGCTCACAGGTCCACACCAGAGAACTTTTACTTCCATTGATGTAATGCAGATTCCTAGTGGTCATGTTGTGTGTGACCAGGAGCGGCGCCGCCTTAATGGTCCGCCGTCTCACACCAACACTGTTCACTTCATCTTGTAAGATTATGCGAAGAAATTCAATGTTTGAGGTGTGGCAAGAGCGCTCTGTGTGTTCACCTATATGTGATTGCAGGGTGAGCATCAGCTCTTGGGCCCCGCCTGTCTGCCGTCAGTCACCTACAGGAATGAATCCCTCATCACTACTAATTATAGCGACTCATAAGATGGGTGGAGTAGAATGTTCTTCTGGCGCTTCTTCCTGCAGGTTGCCAGAGCCCTCACCGACGTCCCTCACGCCGCTGATGTTAACTTGTCAATGTGTGACTGCTGGAGGCGAGCATGGTGCAATATGTTATCACAGATTTGCTCCTATTCTGACACAAGTCGTTGTCCTCTAGAGATCCTTTACGGCCCCAGCGACAACCTCAGCCTCCTCACCAATCTCATTACGTTACACTTGTCTGAATTGATGTCAAGAAGCCAGTTTTTCAGAGGAGTTCTCTATTCTGCATCATGGACTTTCTGCATTCATTTTCTGTTATACTTTGTTTCATCAATTTTGCATCGTGCGGGCTCAGTCACAGTGTACCAGGACGGTGGCCACACGACATGTTGGGTGATGAAGGGCCTATGTCAGGAAGGCGAAACTGACATTGCTAGCAAGATCAACCACTGCTAGAAAACAGTTATTCATTATGATTGAGAAATGTCTCTAAATCTCAGGATAGAGACCATTGTCGCCACGACCACCAACACAATACAAGACGATGAGATATCTACACGGTAACTAGACTATTATTAAACCAGAATGTTAAACTCGACCAAACACACGCATCAAAAGTTACAAGTCCAAAAACAACATAGCACGCTAGTATAGAGTCCAACACCAGGATTATCAAGCCACAACAGAACCCTTAACTTTTAGACAAAATAAACCTTTCATGATGTTATCATTACACGACCTTCAAACCCCTTCCCATGAACAAGACTCCACTTTCTCATCCCAGACAGAGAATTGGCAAGTCATCATTAACTCGACCAGTGACTATGAAGCCCAACCTGTAACCCCTCGCCCACCAGCCCAAAGGCGGACTCTCTTGTACAGTATCAACAGCCAGTCTCCCCAACACAACATCAACGGTAGAGAGAGAGAGAGAGAGAAAGAGAGAGACAGACAGAAATAAAGACAGACAGACAGACAGAAATAGAGAGTAGTCCTCAATGGAGCAGAATCCGAAAGTCACTCAATTGGTGCCAGCGTTCCACAGGGTAGTGTGCTTGGCCCTCTGCTGTGGAATGTCTATTTCAATTATCTATTCATCTCATTCCTGAAGTTCAATTCTCTGCTGATGACTGCACTCCAACCTTCACACACACAAAGGAAGAAAAGCCAATTGCTGCAAGACTCATCAATCACCAACTTTCAGTGATTTTTACCGGGAGTAATAGATAGCAGGTCACATTTCCGGCTGAGAAAACACACGAAGGCTCTGGCACACAGCTGACTATGGCTCATCCTGTTCCTTATATGATTGTTACTTGACCAATAAAGTTTATTATAATACATATAACAGGCTCATGAAATAAATGGGTCTCAAGAGGCAGGTTTCAACTGAGCTGAGCTAGCATTACAGCTCTTGCTTGCAGTTTCACTGGGTATGTCAGTTGGCAGCCCTTATGAACCCTAGGCTTGGCTTAGAGAGAGAGAGAGAGGAGAGAGAGAGAGAGAGAGAGAGAGAGAGAGAGAGAGAGAGAGAGAGAGAGAGAGAGAGAGAGAGAGAGAGAGAGAGAGAGAGAGAGAGACCATCCCAGCACACACCTCTCATACCTCACCTGGACACCCTAACGAGGGCTTTGTCTTCCTCACCTGCTCCTGCTGCTGCTGTTGTCACCACCCCACACTCTAGAACTAAGGATGTAAACACACTCTCTCGATGGTGCCACCACACTGGCGCCACCACTGTGGTGGCACCAGTGTGGTGGTGGGAGTGTGGGGCCTGGGCCGCCCCCTAGGGGGCACATCCTGGCTTACAACTCCCCCGATACACAGGAAGGGGGAAGGCGGAAAGGATAAGGAATGGGTTTAGAGAAATAGAACACGACGAGACTGGGAGTGTGGGAGAGACAATTAGAGTTGGAGGACGAGGGAATGGTGGGAGGGGGGGGGAGGGGTGTAGGGGGGGGGAGGGGTGTAGGGGGGAGGGGGGTGTAGGGGGGGAGGGGTGTAGGGGGGGCTTGAGAGAAGGACTGACCCTTCAAGTTGTGTGTGCTGGCTTGTAGTTCCCTGTACACCAGACAGTGGGGCGAGGCAGATGAAATGTGGGTCACGACTGGGACGCCCAGATGGACAACTGCCATCAGCATGCAGCAGGCGGAGGGAGACACCTGGTGGGTCTTTTCACAGCAGCAGGGCGGTGCCCCGGATTCAGGCGACTGTTGTAGCTCGCATCCTGGGGAATGGCCAGTCGTTGGCTAGGGAGGGGGGGGGAACCTAGATAATCCTAACTAGCTTCCAATTTCCGATGACGGGACCCATGCCTGTCTTGTCCTGTTTGAGAACAGTACAAAGTACCTACCTCACTTGCCTGAAGAGCAGAGGTGCAACAGGTACTCTGAGAGAGAACTATCATTATCAGAGGCCCGAGACTGTTCAACACGCTTCCACTACACATAAGGGACATAACTGGCCGACCCCTCACAGTGTTCAAGAGAGAACTATCATTATCAGAGGCCCGAGACTGTTCAACACGCTTCCACTACACATAAGGGACATAACTGGCCGACCCCTCACAGTGTTCAAGAGAGAACTATCAACATCAGAGGCCCGAGACTGTTCAACACGCTTCCACTACACATAAGGGACATAACTGGCCGACCCCTCACAGTGTTCAAGAGAGAACTATCAACATCAGAGGTCCGAGACTGTTCAACACGCTTCCACTACACATAAGGGACATAACTGGCCGACCCCTCACAGTGTTCAAGAGAGAACTATCAACATCAGAGGCCCGAGACTGTTCAACACGCTTCCACTACACATAAGGGGCATAACTGGCCGACCCCTCACAGTGTTCAAGAGAGAACTGGACAAACACCTCTAAAGGATATCTGATCAACCAGGCTGAGACTCATACGTCAGGCTGCGAGCAGCCGCGTCCAACAGCCTGGTTGACCAGTCCAGCAAGGAGGAGGCCTGGTCGAGGACCGGGCCGTGGGGACGTTGATCCTCGAAATCTCCAACAGGTAGCCTTGTACCCATCTCACCTGTATATATTCCATAATATGATGTATTTTTATCATATGATGGTTAACTTTCAGGAAAAGTACAGTATAATGAATTTAAAAAAAAATTATCAACTAAATAATTTTTTATATAAATACATAAATGAATTTATTTGATTTTCCTCTTCATATTAAAGAATCAACTCCTGTAAGAGTTCTGTATAGTGGAGTCGCGTATGTAACATTGGAGAATATATTGAAGTTAAATTATTTAAAAAATTCATATTACTTAAACCATTTATATCCAAATTAGAAACAGAAGGAGTGCTAACTTCTCCACTTCAAGTTGGTCGAGGCGGACACTTATTCACATTTGAATAAGTCTCTCTCTTTCCCCATATATATATATATATATATATATATATATGTCGTACCTAGTAGCCAGAACGCACTTCTGGGCCTACTATGCAAGGCCCGATTTGCCTAATAAGCCAAGTTTTCCTGAATTAATATATTTTCTCTAATTTTTTTCTTATGAAATGATAAAGCTACCCATTTCATTATGTATGAGGTAATTTTTTTTTATTGGAGTTAAAATTAACGTAGATATATGATCGAACCTAACCAACCCTACCTAACCTAACCTAACCTATCTTTATAGGTTAGGTTTGGTTAGGTAGCCGAAAAAGTTTAGTTAGGTTAGGTTAGGTAGGTTAGGTAATCGAAAAACAACTAATTCATGAAAACTTGGCTTATTAGGCAAATTGGGCCTTGCATAGTAGGCTGAGAAGTGCGTTCTGGCTACGACATATATATATATATATATATATATATATATATATATATATATATATATATATATATATATATATATATATATATATGCAGGCGATGAGTCACAATAACGTGGCTGAAGTATGTTGACCAGACCACACACTAGAAATTGAAGGGACGACGACGTTTCGGTCCGTTCTGGACCATTCTCAAGTCGATTGTGAATGGTCCAGGACGGACCGAAACGTCGTCGTCCCTTCAATTTCTAGTGTGTGGTCTGGTCAATATATATATATATATATATATATATATATATATATATATATATATATATATATATATATATATATATATATATATATATATTTCAGCCCAGAGTTAAGCAATGATATATCCAAGAGCTTCAGAACGTGTCATCCAGGCTTTATGTGTGCCTTAATGTATTTTAAAGTGCCTACTTATCTTTGTCAAATTTTCTTACAATGTACCTGTTAACATTTTATAAATTTTGCTAGAAATTACCTATTTAATATTACCTATAAGCTTAAGGACCTGCCCGAGACGCTGTGAGTGTTAGTGGCTTAACAAGACTGTAAACACATCATGCTGTGTACTCTCATAAACCCAGTGCTTTGATTTGTATTAATACGTCGCAATTTTTTAACGAAAATGGTCGATTCCTTAAAACATACGACGACATATTAGTTAAAAGTTGACCATCTTGACCAGATAGTCAAGACCACACCAGACCTAAGGACCCGTCGGCCCTTAGGTCTGAATAATACATAATAATATCCAGTTAGAATAATATCACTGGATAATACTCCAGTTATCTATAATAACAACGACTGGTTACAACAAAGACCTACACAACATCTACAACAACCACAACACCTTAACAACAATTACAAAAGACAATTACAGATACATTACAGAAATCAGCTAACAGACTGATTACAGAAAACAGTTAAACTAATAACACAAAGTTGTATAGTACCTACAGTAAACAAGTATACACAAAATACAGGCCGCAGGTAGGCCTATACATTAACTACATATAACAGGTAGGCCTATAGGTTAACTACAGGTAACAGGTTATCACTAAGTACAGAGAACATTTATACAACAACTACATAGAACAGGTTACAGTGCTCAGTGATGAGAATGGTGGGTTAGTGAGGTCAGGTCTACGGCCAGGGTACAGCAGAGGTTCCGGTTCATACAGAGGGGTACAGCAGAGGTTCCGGTTCATACAGAGGGGTACAGCAGAGGTTCCGGTTCATACAGAGGGGTACAGCAGAGGTTCCGGTTCATACAGAGGGGTACAGCAGAGGTTCCGGTTCATACAGAGGGGTACAGAAGAGGTCCCGGTTCATACAGAGGGGTACAGAAGAGGTCCCGGTTCATACGGAGGGCACAGAAGAGGTCCCGGTTCATACGGAGGGTACAGCAGAGGTCCCGGTTCATACGGAGGCTACAGAAGAGGTCCTGGTTCATGCGGAGGGGTACAGCAGAGGACCTGGTTCATACCGAGGGGTACAGAAGAGGTCCCGGTTCATATGGAGGGCACAGCAGAGGTCCCGGTTCATACGGAGGGCACAGCAGAAGTCCTGGTTCATACGGAGGGTACAGCAGAGGTCCCGGTTCATACGGAGGGTACAGCAGAGGTCCCGGTTCATACGGAGGGTACAGCAGAGGTCCCAGTTCATACGGAGGGCACAGCAGAAGTCCCGGTTCATATGGAGGGTACAGCAGAGGTCCCGGTTCATACGAAGGGTACAGCAGAGGTCCCGGTTCATACGGAGGGTACAGCAGAGGTCCCGGTTCATACGGAGGGCACAGCAGAGGTCCCGGTTCATACGGAGGGTACAGCAGAGGTCCCGGTTCATACGGAGGCTACAGAAGAGGTCCCGGTTCATACGGAGGGTACAGCAGAGGTCCCGGTTCATACGGAGGGTACAGCAGAGGTCCCGGTTCATACGGAGGGCACAACAGAGGTCTCGGTTCATACGGAGGGTACAGCAGAGGTCCCGGTTCATACGGAGGCTACAGAAGAGGTCCCGGTTCATACGGAGGGTACAGCAGAGGTCCCGGTTCATACGGAGGGTACAGCAGAGGTCCCGGTTCATACGGAGGGTACAGCAGAGGTCCCGGTTCATACGGAGGGTACAGCAGAGGTCCCGGTTCATACGGAGGCCACAGAAGAGGTCCCGGTTCATACGGAGGGTACAGCAGAGGTCCCGGTTCATACGGAGGGTACAGCAGAGGTCCCGGTTCATACGGAGGCCACAGAAGAGGTCCCGGTTCATACGGAGGGTACAGCAGAGGTCCCGGTTCATACGGAGGGTACAGCAGAGGTCCCGGTTCATACGCACGAGGCGCGGAAAGGTCAACTATAACACCTCCATTAGCGCTCGCAATTTACGCACCAAAATAGGCACAATTATGGTGAGCTGCCAGGAGCCAGCCGAGCCCTCCTGAGGGGCGACACGCTCCCCCTCCTCCCCTGGGCGACTCACTGCTACAGGGAACAGAAAGCTTGTGCTTCTCACAGCAGGTCTCGGGAGGCCTGGTCGAGGACCGGGACGCGAGGACGTTGAGCCCCGAAATCCTCGCAAGATAACCGCATCGCCAGGTAGGTCTTGCCAATCGACTATACCCAAATATTTACAAATTCCAAAGTATATTCATAAAACATTACGCAAAATTGTTGTCGTGCAGGTACGACAATCTTAGCGTGCCAGGAGTCTAAAGGATCTAAGCGCATCATTAACTTGAGCTCCTATAGGAAATGAACGCGGGGCGCGGGGTTAAATTTGTTTTATACCCCAAAGGTGTTGCCCAGCTTTATTGAAGACGTCTCCCATGTGTTCTTGCTTTATTGCAGCTGTCTCCTGTGTGTGTGTTCTTGCTTTATTTGGACTCGTCTTGTCAAGCAGTTGGACCAAACGTAAATATAGTGTTCTGATCAACGTAAATCTCATGTTCTGAAATACCCAAATCTGGTGGTGTAATTAAGACAAGTCCAGTGTTGTGTGAGTAACGAGTCGTGTCTATTAAGGCAAGGGACCGCTGGAGCACACGACAACCAGGTGATCTATGACTCTGTTCACTGATCATTATGATCACTGATCATTATGCTCACTGATCATTATGATCACTATCATCACTTTTCCTCTCCTCCGCTCACCTGAGGACATGGGCCTTAGTATGCTCGGACACTCACTCTAACTATATTAAGAAAACATCAACCAAGTTTGAACTGCTCTCAGAGTTAGCACAATCAACGACTCAACTATCGTCTGAGAGCAAGATTTAAACACTAAGTTGTATTAGTTATAGACGGTTAGACACGTCAACTCGGGGCCGGTTGCTCTAGAACAGGTCTCTAAGAAGAGGTGGGAAACTTCTTGTAGAGAATAACGAAAACGACGCACTAATATAAGTGCAAGATCAGATTTGACGCCGAAGGTGTCACAGCTGACAGTGAACGGTCACAGCTGACACCGGGAGGTCACAGCTGACACTGGGAGGCAACAGAGGTCACGGGGAAAGCCTTGAGGCGCGAGTAGAGAGGGCGGGTGTCCGGGCTCAGGACAGGTAGATGGACCAGTAGACGATGTTACAGAACAAGAAGATGATGGGGACGCCCAGCCTGCCCGCCCACTCCACCCACCACACCTGCAGCACCAGGGCGTGGGGCGGCGGCCGGCGCGGGCCCTTCGCGTACATGGCAGCGGGGCCCTGCGAGTTGGGCCCGGCTGACGAGGGCGTCGCTGTGGTGGCCGGGACCTCCTCCGTCAGGCAGTGGCTGCACATCACCGAGATGTTCTGGCAAGAGCAACACTGTTACACCACACTTAAAAGTTAAGCATTGAAGCTCAATCGTAGCTCAGTCGATTAAGGCAGTGTCTGGGATACTCCCGGACGCAGGTTCGAATCCTCGTCACGGCCCTTGTGGATTTGTTCATTTAAGCATTGAATTAGAGACACCCGTGAAAGAAACAGTGAATTAGACACACACACTAAAGGGAAATATATTAGACCTAGAAGGCACTTAAAGCAAGGCAAGACTTTAGATTCAAGTTAGTTGCGTGCGATTTACACTAGGTGCAGATTTTCAATGTTTACTTAAGCACTACCTTTGTAGTTATAATATATGTTCATAACAACATTATAGTTAACACGACGCTGCACTAACCTTGGGCGACACCTCGCTCACTTTGCCTTCCTTCTCTCTCTTCTGAATCCTGGACAAAAATAAAATATAATAAAATCTCCGGCCAGGAAATTTCTCTGTTCACTTAGCAGTATATAGATACTCGGGGACATTATATATATATATATATATATATATATATATATATATATATATATATATATATATATATATATATGTCGTACCTAGTAGCCAGAACGCACTTCTCAGCCTACTATGCAAGGCCCAATTTGCCTAATAAGCCAAGTTTTCATGAATAAATTGTTTTTCGATTACCTAACCTACCTAACCTAACCTAACCTATAAAGATAGGTTAGGTTAGGTTAGGTAGGGTTGGTTAGGTTCGGTCATATATCTACGTTAATTTTAACTCCAATAAAAAAAATTGACCTCATACATAATGAAATGGGTAGCTTTATCATTTCATAAGAAAAAAATTAGAAAAAATATATTAATTCAGGAAAACTTGGCTTATTACGCAAATCGGGCCTTGCATAGTAGGCTGAGAAGTGCGTTCTGGCTACTAAATACGTATATATATATATATATATATATATATATAATATAATATATATATATATATATATATATATATATATATATATATATATATATATATATATATATATATATATATTTTATTAAATATGACCGAAAAAGTAAGATTAATAATTCTAACACGAATTTTCTCAATCTTTCGTACATTATGCTTCACTGTTGGAGGTAAATCAAAAATCACTTCTCCAAAATTCATTTTTATTTCTAGTCTGACGCGACACGGGCGCGTTTCGTAAAACTTATTACATTTTCAAAGACTTCACAAATACACAACTGATTAGAACTTGCATTTCCCTGATTTTATATCTACTTTTGAGTGAGGTGGGAAGGGTGATGTGGCATTACATTTGAGTGAGGTGGGAAGGATGATGTGGCATTAGAGGATATTAATAGGGTATTAAAAGTATCAACACAAGACAGAACACGAAACAATGGATATTGAATAGAAGTGTTTGTAGAAAGCCTATTGGTCCATATTTCTTGATGCTTCTATATTGGAGCGGAGTCTTGAGGTGGGTAGAATATAGTTGTGCAATAATTGGCTGTTGATTGCTGGTGTTGACTTCTTGATGTGTAGTGCCTCGCAAACGTCAAGCCGCCTGCTATCGCTGTATCTATCGATGATTTCTGTGTTGTTTACTAGGATTTCTCTGGCGATGGTTTGGTTATGGGAAGAGATTATATGTTCCTTAATGGAGCCCTGTTGTTTATGCATCGTTAAACGCCTAGAAAGAGATGTTGTTGTCTTGCCTATATACTGGGTTTTTTGGAGCTTACAGTCCCCAAGTGGGCATTTGAAGGCATAGACGACGTTAGTCTCTTTTAAAGCGTTCTGTTTCGTGTCTGGAGAGTTTCTCATGAGTAGGCTGGCCGTTTTTCTGGTTTTATAGTAAATCGTCAGTTGTATCCTCTGATTTTTGTCTGTAGGGATAACGTTTCTATTAACAATATCTTTCAGGACCCTTTCCTCTGTTTTATGAGCTGTGGAAAAGAAGTTCCTGTAAAATAGTCTAATAGGGGGTATAGGTGTTGTGTTAGTTGTCTCTTCAGAGGTTGCATGGCTTTTCACTTTCCTTCTTATGATGTCTTCGATGAAACCATTGGAGAAGCCGTTATTGACTAGAACCTGCCTTACCCTACAGAGTTCTTCGTCGACTTGCTTCCATTCTGAGCTGTGGCTGAGAGCACGGTCGACGTATGCGTTAACAACACTCCTCTTGTACCTGTCAGGGCAGTCGCTGTTGGCATTTAGGCACATTCCTATGTTTGTTTCCTTTGTGTAGACTGCAGTGTGGAAACCTCCGCCCTTTTCCATGACTGTTACATCTAGAAAAGGCAGCTTCCCATCCTTTTCCGTCTCGTAAGTGAAACGCAGCACGGAACTCTGCTCAAATGCCTCCTTCAGCTCCTGCAGATGTCTGACATCAGGTACCTGTGTAAAAATGTCGTCAACATACCTGCAGTATATGGCCGGTTTCAAGTTCATGTCGACTAAGACTTTTTGCTCGATGGTACCCATGTAGAAGTTTGCAAACAGGACACCTAGGGGAGAACCCATAGCGACCCCATCTACTTGCTTATACATATGCCCATCCGGGCTCAAGAAGGGTGCCTCTTTAGTACAAGCTTGGAGTAGTTTCCTCAGAATACTTTCTGGCATGTCAAGAGGAGTACAGGCTGGATCACGATACACTCTGTCGGCTATCATTCCGATTGTCTCGTCCACAGGTACGTTGGTAAACAGCGATTCTACGTCCAACGAGGCTCTTATCCCTGTGGCCCGTGCGCCCCGCAGTAAGTCCACAAATTCCTTTGGAGACTTCAGGCTGAAGGCGCAAGGAACATAAGGAGTCAGCAGGCCGTTGAGTCGCTTTGCCAATCTGTACGTGGGTGTGGGTATCTGGCTAATGATTGGCCGAAGTGGGTTTCCAGGCTTGTGCGTCTTGACATTTCCATACGCATATCCAGGTTTATATTCCCCAATGATCTTTGGCAGGTGGAGTCCGGATTTCTTGGCGTTCACAGTTTCGATCAGTTTGTTGACCTTTGCTTTTAATTCGGCTGTAGTGTCCTTCGTTACCCTTTGGAACTTAGTTTGGTCAGAGAGTATGATGTTCATTTTCGCCAGATATTCGTCTTTTTTAAGAATGACATATATTGGCGACTTGTCACCTCTCCTGACAACTATCTCCTTGTTCTCGCGAAGGCTTTTAGCTGCCGCTCTAAGCTCGGGGGACAGTATGGTGCTTCTGTAGTTGCCTCGATTCTTTCCTCCTTCTGCAATAAGTTCTGCTTGTAAGGTATCTTTGGTAGTGACCTTCTTTTGTGTCTCGAGGTCGAATATGTCGTCCAACAGAATTTCCAACTCCACTTTCCGGGCCATTTCACTCGGTCTGGACATAACATGACAGTTTATGCCCAGATTTAGGAGAGTGACTTGGTCCTCAGTGAGGTTAATTCCTGCAACAGAGTGTATCGTGATCCAGCCTGTACTCCTCTTGACATGCCAGAAAGTATTCTGAGGAAACTACTCCAAGCTTGTACTAAAGAGGCACCCTTCTTGAGCCCGGATGGGCATATGTATAAGCAAGTAGATGGGGTCGCTATGGGTTCTCCCCTAGGTGTCCTGTTTGCAAACTTCTACATGGGTACCATCGAGCAAAAAGTCTTAGTCGACATGAACTTGAAACCGGCCATATACTGCAGGTATGTTGACGACATTTTTACACAGGTACCTGATGTCAGACATCTGCAGGAGCTGAAGGAGGCATTTGAGCAGAGTTCCGTGCTGCGTTTCACTTACGAGACGGAAAAGGATGGGAAGCTGCCTTTTCTAGATGTAACAGTCATGGAAAAGGGCGGAGGTTTCCACACTGCAGTCTACACAAAGGAAACAAACATAGGAATGTGCCTAAATGCCAACAGCGACTGCCCTGACAGGTACAAGAGGAGTGTTGTTAACGCATACGTCGACCGTGCTCTCAGCCACAGCTCAGAATGGAAGCAAGTCGACGAAGAACTCTGTAGGGTAAGGCAGGTTCTAGTCAATAACGGCTTCTCCAATGGTTTCATCGAAGACATCATAAGAAGGAAAGTGAAAAGCCATGCAACCTCTGAAGAGACAACTAACACAACACCTATACCCCCTATTAGACTATTTTACAGGAACTTCTTTTCCACAGCTCATAAAACAGAGGAAAGGGTCCTGAAAGATATTGTTAATAGAAACGTTATCCCTACAGACAAAAATCAGAGGATACAACTGACGATTTACTATAAAACCAGAAAAACGGCCAGCCTACTCATGAGAAACTCTCCAGACACGAAACAGAACGCTTTAAAAGAGACTAACGTCGTCTATGCCTTCAAATGCCCACTTGGGGACTGTAAGCTCCAAAAAACCCAGTATATAGGCAAGACAACAACATCTCTTTCTAGGCGTTTAACGATGCATAAACAACAGGGCTCCATTAAGGAACATATAATCTCTTCCCATAACCAAACCATCGCCAGAGAAATCCTAGTAAACAACACAGAAATCATCGATAGATACAGCGATAGCAGGCGGCTTGACGTTTGCGAGGCACTACACATCAAGAAGTCAACACCAGCAATCAACAGCCAATTATTGCACAACTATATTCTACCCACCTCAAGACTCCGCTCCAATATAGAAGCATCAAGAAATATGGACCAATAGGCTTTCTACAAACACTTCTATTCAATATCCATTGTTTCGTGTTCTGTCTTGTGTTGATACTTTTAATACCCTATTAATATCCTCTAATGCCACATCATCCTTCCCACCTCACTCAAATGTAATGCCACATCACCCTTCCCACCTCACTCAAAAGTAGATATAAAATCAGGGAAATGCAAGTTCTAATCAGTTGTGTATTTGTGAAGTCTTTGAAAATGTAATAAGTTTTACGAAACGCGCCCGTGTCGCGTCAGACTAGAAATAAAAATGAATTTTGGAGAAGTGATTTTTGATTTACCTCCAACAGTGAAGCATAATGTACGAAAGATTGAGAAAATTCGTGTTAGAATTATTAATCTTACTTTTTCGGTCATATTTAATAAAATATGTCTACAGGAAAGACTGCTACCAAAATATACTATATATATATATATATATATATATATATATATATATATATATATATATATATATATATATATATATATATATATAGGCTTCCTGTTCCCGACATATAATATATATTTATATTTACTTTAGTCTCTCATAGGGCTGTAGATGGAGAAGGACCCACTTGAGCCCCACCATCCCGAGGGAGGTCAGCCAGCACCAGGACTCACCCGATGGCGGCGTACATGGAGATGACGGTGAGGAGGGAGGTGATGATGAGGACGGTGCGTCCAGGGATGACGTCCGGGGGCCAGAAGAAGGACGCCCACGCCACCGCCACGAACAGGGCCGAGGGCACGTAGACGCTCAGCACGTGCAGGGCGTACCGCCGTACCAGCACAATCCGCGCCTGCCCCATCGACGACGGTGCTGTTGGGTCAGGAGAGAGAGAGAGAGAGAGAGAGAGAGAGAGAGAGAGAGAGAGAGAGAGAGAGAGAGAGAGAGAGAGAGAGAGAGAGAGAGAGAGAGAGAGAGAGAGAGAGAGAGAGAGAGACAGAGAGACAGAGAGACAGAGAGTGATGTAGCAGACAAAAAGCAAGGTAATAAAAGGGGAAGTGGGTATAGGGTGGGAGAGAGGGACAAGAATAAGATGTAATTTGCAAGCAATAAATAGACCAAGCCCCTCAGCGCCCTCCCTCGCCAGCAGAGGGCGCCCACACTCACCGAAGGAGCAGTTGTTGCACCAGTACTTGGTCGTCACGTTCGTCCACTCCACACTGAACGCGTAGTTGGGCATTTGGTCGTCGACCCCGAGGTCCGCCGACACCAACTCCGGCATCCACTCCAGCTGGAGCGAGTCCTCGTCGAACTTGTCTGCGGCGAGACGAACAAATTAGCACCATCTGGGCCACGATTCATTAACCACTTATAAGTGTCCACTTACGAAACATGTACATCTTTCCTCAATCTTGGCGGCTATGTAGGCCTTTATGAAACAGGCTATGAGCCCCGAACCACTACGAGGTTGTTCCTAATAATAACATCATTCGAACGAGAACGACGTCGCGGCGGGTCATAGCGCGCCAACTTTTGAGTAAATAGAGACTATAAGTCATGATCAAGGCAGGATGTACAGGTTTCGTCAGGGAACACGTCAGTGCTTCAGGACTCCTGACCGACACATCATTATTCCTGTCTACTGAGTTACACAACAAATTTGGTCGAGTATTTTGTCATTTATTTTGGATTTTTTTTTTAATATTCTTGGATAGAATTTGTCAATGTCAACAGCTTTATTGTTGGCCTTAATGAGTGCACCCAGCTGGTTATATTATACAATGTGCATGCCCGAAATGCTTTGCGTAATAGTGGCTTTAGGCATTGTATGTACTAGCTCTATCTATAAATCCATCAATCTTTGTAAAATCTCTTGTATGTATGTACCTTACCTAAATAAACATTTATTTATTTATTTATTTATATATTATTTACAATATGCACAACTGTAGCCACTTACAAGAGGTGACGGTCATGGGGCAGACCTGGACGTCGAAGGGGTAGCTGGAGAAGTACATGGGACAAGCCAGTCGGACCTGCAGCCTGAGACCACAAAATATATTCAATTACTCTATCCAAAAGTTTCAACTTCTTCGTGAAAATATGTAATGTATCAAGTTATATTTTCAAACGTAGCCTCTGATTCTAAGTGTTTCACTATAACAACAACTTTAAATACCACCAAGAGAATAATTTCTCATTATTACAAATTATATCAACAAAGGGCTATAATTATGGTATCATTGGGATTATCGGTACGAGAGAACAGGAGGAGACCCACAGGGTGGAGAAGAAGAAGGTGTTGGGGGGGCGGAGGTAGACCCCTTGCACCTCCTCGATCATCTTGAAGGACTTGATGTCCTGCGCCTCGTGGAAGTACAGGTCGGGCGTCCAGGCGTGCTTGGTCAGGTCGGAGTGGAGAGGCATCATGCCGCTCTCCCCCGCGCCCTCACCCTCCTGCGGCACGCCCACGAGCCGCGGCTCCGCCCACGACATCCGGAAGTACATAGACAGCACCACGGACTGTAGGAGGCAGAGACAGTGACCCCCGAGACACCACATGACTAAATTTGGTCACCATATTGGAAGACAAAGCCAACAGCTCTAAGAATGTATATGGCAACATTTAAACGTTCGGGCGGCTTTTGGCGCCACGACGGCTGGGCCCGTCACACGCTGGTAAACACCAAGATATAATCAAAATAATCATTATATAGTATCGGCAGTTACAGCCCCGCTCCTGTGCCAGGTAAGTCCACTACGGGCTCACCATAGCCCGTGCTACTTGCAACTTTTTTGTTCCCAGTAGCTGAATCTACGACAACATCATCAAAGTAATACGCACTGAGAAATATCATCTATTATTGAAGCTATACACATTCTACTGCGTGTTAGAAGCTGTCAACACCCACATTTACCTGCATGGGAGAAGCTGTCAACACCCCACATTTACCTGCATGGGAGAAGCTGTCAACACCCCACATTTACCTGCATGGGAGAAGCTGTCAACACCCCACATTTACCTGCACGGGAGAAGCTGTCAACACCCCACATTTACCTGCACGGGAGAAGCTGTCAACACCCCAAATTTACCTGCGTGTGAGAAGCTGTCAACAAACACGTGTTAATATGAGCACTTAGTGTTATAAGGAGAGACTAAGCAAGGTTGAGAACTAACCATCTCACGAAAGTTGACCTCGTAGACATTCTTGATCATCCAGCTGATCCCTACCACGATGGGTCCGCCCTCTGTGGAGGAGGACCTTATTATCACTTAGATGACATTAACAAATATTATCGAGTTAAGTATCATAATTAAACGTGAACCGGTAAACCCGAAGTAACTTTCACTTTATGCGAGCGAGGAGCGTGTGTGTGTGTGTGTGTGTGTGTGTGTGTGTGTGTACTCACCTAGTTGTGCTTGCGGGGCTTGAGCTCTGGCTCTTTGGTCCCGCCTCTCAACCGTCAATCAACAGGTATGTGTGTGTGTGTGTGTCATTACACCCAAACAGGACCCAAACACTTCAAGACATAACCCAAAATGATAGAGCCTCTAGGTACTGTGGACAGAGTACACAAAGCTGGGACTGTTGTACCCCAAATAGTTGACATTTTGTACTATTGGAATACGAGAAAGAACATAACATGACGTAATAATAAATATAACCTGTCTTAGGCCTAAATAGGTTATCAGAGGCCTAACGAATGTAACCTTAGGCGTAATTTAGTACATAATATTACTATACTAGGAAATTAAGGTTTGGTAATTGCCTTCTACAGAATTATAAATATGGACTGTTCTGCATTATTGTCTTTCACAGTAATATAATAGTTAATGATATCTGGAGGACCCGGCCTGGGCTCCTCTGACCAGGCCAGGCCGGGTACTGTCCCAAGCCAACCTGTCCTCCTACAAAGAACGTCGCATTTCGCTCGTATGCGTTACGTACGGCCAAAAATGGTCGTACTTGAAAATGGAAGCGGCTGCCGAAAGTGACGTATTGCCCCGTTTTCTGTTTTGGGTCCTCTGGTTGGCTAGGAGAGGACACTTTAATTTGACAGTTTTCTTGACGCTAGGAAGCCTTAGGAGGACGGGTTGCCCAAGCGGCCTTCTACTCAGTCTCGCCTGAATATATTTTCTCCCGCTTCTCAGACGAGAACATTACAAATGCAACTAATAAACCAACCAATCTTCACTCTAATTATAAATTTATACCAAGTGTATATGCTAATTGTAACAATCCGTGTTAAGCATGTCTGTTAGAGGGTGGGCTTAACAACTGTTCATCTCTGTGTGCAACACGGCAGAGGATGAGTACCCGAGGGTCAACAGCCCAACCCGTCCTCGGCTCAAGTCCATTCCATCCAGCGGTCGACCACACAGACGCATTCATAAATTTTTACATGCTGTTCATTCAAAACAGGAATTTTCTGACATATAAATTAATATTATAATATATAAGCATATTGTGCATATATAGGCATAGGTTAGGTTAGGTGTTTAGGTTCTGTTGGCGATTATTGGTATTTGTAGTACGCGGGTGAAGCATTTACAGCGTTGTGGTTCGAACAAAATTCGCCAATGAAGCACTTGTTCCGGAAGTGTTCGAACGAAATCAGTTGCGAGTCGTGTGTAAACCGTTTATCATTCATAAACAGCTGGGGGTTTGGCGGGTGCATGGAATCACTTTTGGGGTCTTTGTTTGGCTGACGGGCTGCAACAGGAGACAACCTGCCACTCCCACCAATAACCAACCCATCAATGATTCAGCCGCGCACTTCAGCGTCGTTTAAACACAAAAACCTCGATCAGAAATTCTGTTTGCGGTACGTTTTCTCTTAGACCGTCACAACGGGTCGCTGGACGGCCCGCGCGCACACGCACACACACACACACACACACACACACACACACACACACACACACACACACACGAGCGTATTGATGTACTCTCGTATTCTCTGTGAGATTTATTTTTTTTACCGAGAAACCTTTTATCACAGTGTTTATTTATTTTCGTGAAAACTCGTGGGAAGGTTTTAATTCGCAATAACATGTTCAGCGTGACACACCTGTGTGTGATGACCGTCAAGTGTGAGCTGCCAGGCAACCATTGCACACACACACACACACACACGCTGGGGAAGGGAAGGGAACTATCTGGGAGAAAGCACCAAGCCATTGCGACTATATAGCACTGGGAAAGGGGTCAGGATAAGGATTTGGGAAGGGACAGGGGGAAGGAATGGTGCCCAATCACTTGGGCGGTCGGGGATTGAGGGGAGACATTCAGGTATGAAAACACCTTCTATTGGGGGGGAGAGAGAGAGAGAGAGAGAGAGAGAGAGAGAGAGAGAGAGAGAGAGAGAGAGAGAGAGAGAGAGAGAGAGAGAGAGAGAGAGAGAGAGAGAGAGAGAGAGGGGGGGGGAAGAGATACAAAAATATTGACAAAGATCTTGACAAACTTAACTGTTTGTCACGTGGTTACTAGTTTTCAACTCAAGCAAATGCAAAGTAACAACAATTAGAGCCAGACACAAGGAGCTGGATGTAAGGGAGTAAAATCCAGACGTTGGAGCAAAGTAAGACGCTTTGGGTGGGAAATATGCTAAAAGTGGACGGTAGAGCGACGGTCTCGCTTCATGCAGGTCGGCGTTCAATCCCCGACCGTCCAAGTGGTTGGGCACCATCCCTGTCCTTCGTCCTATCCTTAATCTTATTCCTCATATCCCTTCCAAACTCAGTATAGTCTCACTGGCTTCACGTTTTATCCTCATAATTACATTACCTGTCTCATAACACCAGTAACATATACAAAGATGTCAAACTTAAGAACTGTTGTCAAGAAGCTGAAGGAGTTGTTGTATTCCACATACGTAAGACCATTTCATTCATATGCAGCAACAAAATGAAGCTCCGTAAATAACAATAGATTTAGTGAAGGAAAACTCTTTGACGAACCTACTAGAGTTTGATGATAAAATGACGGTGATCAAACAAGGGCGACAGAAAGGCGGCCAGGCTGCATTTTCCCGGACCCTCAGAAAGTCTTTGAAACTGTCACACACCAGAAACTGTTGTGAGAGAAAGACAGAATACTGAGGTGAGAGAACTGAGGTGAGAGAACTGAGGTGAGAGAACTGAGGTGAGAGAACTGAGGTGAGAGAACTGAGGTGAGAGAACTGAAGTGAGAGAACTGAGGTGAGAGAATTACTAATGGATAGAACAGTCAGAGTGAGAAGTGAAAATCAGAATGGAAATCTGTACAGAACTGAGACCCGCGAGTATCAGTGGCAGTTCTTCCCTGTCTCCTCTATACAAGAGTGACCTCCCCCACATGAGGGTGCTGGAGAGTGACACGTATCAGACGAGAAGACACAAGGACTGTAAGATGCTGCACGGAGTCCTGGAACACCTCTTGAGGCTTTGACAACTGGCTACTTCACTTGCATGATTAACAAAAATGGCAATGATAACATGGCAAGTAATTACATAAAGAATGGGAGGGGGACACAAACACACACACACACACACACACACACACACACACACACACACACACACTCACACTCACACACACACACTCACACTCACACACACACCAGTAGGCTCAGGAATCTGTACACCAGTTGATTGACGGTTGAGAGGCGGAACGAAAGAGTCAGAGCTCAACCCCCGCCAGCACAACTAGGTGAGTACACAGGTAATAGTTCCAGGTAATATGAACAATTGAGTCTCCTCGCTAAATGCTAGTAAACATCTAGTAAGTAATAACATTATAATTTTATAACATTCCTTAGTATCAGCTTTACGCACGCGAGGGTAGTGGAGGAGGCGACCCCTCTCACCCCCGGGTCTCACAACTGGCCAGCCTCACCCCGGGGCACACCACCGGCCAGCCTCACCCCCGGGGCACACAACCGGCCAGCCTCACCCCGGGGCACACCACCGGCCAGTCTCACCCCCGGGGCACACCACCGGCCAGCCTCACCCCCGGGGCACACAACCGGCCAGCCTCACCCCCGGGGCACACCACCGGCCAGCCTCACCCCCGGGGCACACAACCGGCCAGCCTCACCCCGGGGCACACAACCAGCCGCAGCCTAACCCCCGGGGCACACAACCGGCCAGCCTCACCCCGGGGCACACAACCAGCCACAGCCTCACCCCCGGGGCACACAACCGGCCAGCCTCACCCCGGGGCAGCCTCAACCAGCCACAGCCTCACCCCCGGCCCCAGCCTCACCACCGCCCAGCCTCACCCCGGCCCCACACAACACGGCCCCAGCCTCACCCCGGGGCACACAGCCGGCCAGCCTCGGCCCCAGCCTCACCACGGCCCCAGCCTCACCACGGCCCCAGCCTCACCACGGCCCCAGCCTCACCCGGCCCAGCCTCACCACGGCCACAGCCTCACCCCGGCCCCAGCCTCAACTGGCCCCAGCCTCACCCCGGGGCACACCACTGCCCCAGCCTCACCACGGCCCCAGCCTCACCACTGGCCAGCCTCACCCCCCAGGCTCACCACGGCCCCAGCCTCACCCCCCCAGCTCACCACGGCCCCAGCCTCACCACGGCCCCAGCCTCACCACCGGCCAGCCTCACCCCCGGGCCTCACCACGGCCCCAGCCTCACCCCCCAGGCTCACCACGGGCCAGCCTCACCCCCCAGCCTCACAACCGGCCACAGCCTCACCACGGCCCGGGCTCACCACCGGCCACAGCCTCACCCCCGGGCCACAGCCTCACCACGGCCCCAGCCTCACCCCGGCCACAGCCTCACCACGGCCAGCCTCACCCCGGGGCACACCACCGGCCAGCCTCACCACGGCCCCAGCCTCACCACGGCCCCAGCCTCACCACGGCCCCAGCCTCACCACGGGCACACCACCACGGCCCCAGCCTCACCCCCCAGCCTCACCACGGCCCCAGCCTCACCACGGCCCCAGCCTCACCACGGCCCCAGCCTCACCACGGCCCCAGCCTCACCACGGCCCCAGCCTCACCCCGGGGCACACCACGGGCCAGCCTCACCACGGCCCCAGCCTCACACGGCCCCAGCCTCACCACCCCCAGCCTCACCACGGCCCCAGCCTCACCACGGCCCCAGCTCACCACGGCCCCAGCCTCACCACCCCCAGCCTCACCACGGCCACAGCCTCACCCCCGGGCCCCAGCCTCAACACGGCCACAGCCTCACCACGGCCCCAGCCTCACCACCGGCCACAGCCTCACCACGGCCCCAGCCT